AGCTCAGCCCACCAGGGGGCGGGGCGGGCTGGCATGTGGTGCTGGGGGATTGAACCGCGGTCCCTGATGCTTTAGGTAAGCTTGTTCTAAGTAGGTGCCCTAGACCACTGAGCCATCTCTCCAGCCCTGGACTGTTTATTTTAAATTTTACTATGTCTCTGCCTTTTTGTTGTTTTGTAATCTATCCCTGGGTCAAATTTTTCATTTATTACACTTTCTGCTTTTTACTTTCTCTCTATTGTTCTTTTCACTCATCTTTCTATGTCAGCCTTTCCCAAAGAGCTAATATGTAATACTTGCTCTTTTGTCTGAAATACCAGACTCTTGTACCTTGGATCTGTTTGAAAATTTCTCTAGATTGGCATTTTAATTTTCTATTTTAGTTATGCTTGGTGCTAATCAGGCTTGAAGAAGCTGAAAATACAGTAGATTAATATGTTCTAAAAATGTTAAAGATCCAATGACTTGGGGTCAAGGACATGGCTTAGTGGAATAAGTGCTTCCCTGGCAAGCACAAGGGCCTGAGTTCAATCCCTGGTTCTGCAATAAATAAATAAATAAATAAATAAATAAATAAATTCCAATGACTTAATATTTCATTTTTAAAAATATTTTTGAAAAATCTTTTAATTTATTTAGTACAGAATCTTGCTACACAGCATGAACTCGTAGTGATCCTCCTGTGTCAGCCTCTCCAGCACTGGGATTACAGGCATTTGCCACCATGCCCAGTTTCAGTGAGTGGCACAGCACACTCCAGGTTCTAGGGCCACCACAGCATGTGGTACCAGGGATCAAACCCAGGTCCTTGCACTTGCCAGGCAGGCGCTTAGCTTGTGGCACTATCTCCCCAGCCAATGATTTCATATTTTAAAATTGACGACTATTTATTCAGTGTATTATGACATTTTCTTTAAGTGTGTATTTAGTAAATATTGACAAGTATTTCTATGTAGTAACTTCACTATTTCACAAATACTAAATGTTAAATTCAAGAGACAAATGAAATTATTCAGTCTTATTACTATACCAAGAGTAGGGATGATGTAGGTTCTGGTCTTTTTTTTTAATGGCAAAAAAGACATGTTGAGGAAAAATTAATACAACTGAAGGCAACAAATATCTGAGATACACTATTCTGTGTGCTTTTGTCATGTGTACACCCTTGTGCACTCTTGAAAACAAGATAGTGAAGAAGCTCCCAATGTTTCTTCAGCCTCCTTTCGCCCTTCTGCCCTTCCCACCCTCCCTGCTAGTCCTGCATCCCATGCACTCGCCAAGTCTGTGTCCTTCACTAAGGTGAGTGTGCATTTTCAGGGACTGCGTATATGTGGAACCAGATATATGGTGAAAGAAAATAGGCTGGCTGTGCTATCTGCAGTTAGCTTTTAAGGAGAAGCTGTTTCGCATTTCGAGTGTACCTGTGTGTATTCACAGTCAGAGTGTTTGAGATTCCCAGCTCCTCTGTGGGTTTAGCAACATTGGAGATGATCATTCGTAATTTTAGCCATTTTGATTAACATTTTTTAAATATTTTCTAATGATATCCATTTTTAATATACTTATTTGTATCTGTGATTTGATATAGTCACTCTTCAGATGTTTAGTCCATAAAGTTTTGGTAGTTTTTAACCTCTTGAGTTTTGAGTGTACTTTACATATTCTGGACAAGTATTTCGGTTTTTCTTTCAGTTTTTTGAAACATGGTCTCACTGTGTAGTCCAGACTGGCCTGGAACTCATAGTGGTCCTCCTGCCGCAGCCTCCCAAGTGCGTTTCTCCTCCTGTGCCCTGTAACTCTCTTAAAGAGACACCTAAATGAATACAGCTGTGTCACAATTCATAGTATTGTGGTGATTTCTCACATAACATGTAATGTAATTTGGCATTGTCAGTGTCAGTGTTGGCAAAAAGTTATATTTTGGATACCAGTTTTCTGAAACTTCACAGTTAAATGTAATATAAGTGAGAAATATAATTTGCCAATTTGTGTATTTTTCTTTTTGTAGGTGTCTGCTGCAGATAATTCTTCAAATAAGGATGAGGAAGAAAACTCTATGCACAATACAGTTGTATTGTTTTCTAGTAATGACAAGTTCACTCTGCAGCAGGTTTGAAGTTTATCTTCTATTTTAAATTTTCCTTGCCCATTTCCACTTTCCCTTATGCACAGATAGGTAGCTTGGCTAGAGGGCTGTATTAGTCAAGGAAGTATTTTAAAAGTAAAAATTACATATTTTTACCTTAACCTCTAATTTAAAATAGGCTCTCGCGTTCTTCATTTGCAGGATATGTGTGTGGTCTGTGGCAGTTTTGGCCAAGGAGCCGAAGGAAGGTTACTTGCCTGCTCTCAGTGTGGTCAGTGTTACCACCCGTACTGTGTCAGTGTTAAGGTAATGTGCTTAACCTGGGTGCGTTAGCAGGTGTACTGAGTTTTTCTTTGAGTCGTGTAGCGAGGTGGTGTTTCCGAAGCTCGTAGTCAGCTGTTATTTACAATTTACTATACATGAGTGACGGTATTTAAGTACTTTAAACCTTGCTTATACAGGTTAACTCCAGAAATTTCTTGCCAGGCATGGTAGAGCGTGCCTGTAATCCCAGCACTCCCGAGACTGGGGCTAGAGGAGTGCCAAGAGTTTGATGCCAGCTTGAACCACACAGCAAAACCCTGCCCTACCTCCCCAAGTAACTTCTCTAAAAATTCTTGACCTTAAACTATGCTCATTATCTTGTTATTGTCTTGAAAAAGTAAAACAAAAATACATACGCATTTAATTTATAAAGTGCACTTCTGTAATAAGAGCCTGGAGTGCTCCGCTTCAAGTTTCCAGCGTAGAGAGGTCGTGAGGAACTGTTCGTGTGGTAGTCATGCGCTGGGTATTCGGAGTGCCATGAGGATGTGTATGTCTCAGTCAGCACTTCCTTTGTTGAACTCGGGTTTTTGTTTTCTTGGTAAGAACTCAGTTTTAATAAAACCTGTATATTTGAATAAAATAACATGGTCTCTGGACTTCAGTGTGGAGGCCTCACTGTGAGGCAGGGTCCTGCTGTTACAGCCATGTTCCTCTGGAGCTGCTGCGCTGTGGTGGGAGCCCAGAGGCTGGCTTCCTGGTTCTGAATGATCCTGAGCTTGCAAGCCCTCGTCGTCTCTTCTCTCCTGCCTGTCAGACACCATCCCTGCATGCCATTGTTTGCCTGGGGTGCCAGTAGGAAACAAGTCGCGTGCATATTCTTGGGTTTCTTTGCTGACAGCTATACTATTGCTTTCTGAGGATACTGCACACTTATAAATCTAGAATCCAAGTGACAGACTATAGTTAGTCTATCGAAATAGAACACTGGTGCAAGTAATTTATACAGTCTGTGAACATTCATTCCTCACAATATATTGACTGAAAAAACAACATTTTATATAAAAATATTTTCAAATGTGTATAAGAAAACAAAGTTTGTTTATTCTTTTTATCTTTGTAGTCTAAATTCTCTTTAATTGGTTCAAGAATGCAGAAAGAACCCTTTTAGGTGGGGTACAAGTTCCATTAAGCCTGAGTGGTGCTCGAATACAAACAGCTCTTGTAGGCTAATATTGCTAACGGTTTTAGGAGGGAAGTTAACATTTGACAGGACTCCTCCTCAGGACTTTGTACATTTTTAATAACTCATCTGATAATTCCCTTGTACAGGTAAACTGTGTGAAGCTTACATAAATTGAGACCAGTTACTACATTGTTCCATGACTGTTACCGGTAGTTGGAATTTAAACTCATGTCTCACTTCCCGTGGTTCCTCTAATACTACTGACTCCATTCTGGACAGTGGATTGTATTACAGCCTCACCGATTGACAGAGACACAGAGCACTCACAAACACACTAGGAATTTGTGAGTTTTCTGGCTTAGTAGCTGTTGTAATGGGCAGGTCATTGTCAATCTACTTGGCCTTTTTGACGTTGTATCCCCGTAGGCCCAGAGAGCCTTTATTCTAAGTCATGTGTCTTCACACCTTCACACTTTACTTTTTTCTTTCGTTTTGAGATAGGGTCTTGCTGTGTAGTTTAGCCTGGTTGAATTCATTTGTACCTCAGGCTGCCCTTGCCTCACAGCCATCCTCCTGATGCAGCCAGCCTCTGGAGTACTGGGGTTATGTGTGTTACTGTGTCTGTCTACATTTTATGCTCTTGAAGAATAGCACTATTGAAAATTATATAACAAAGTTTTTGCATTGAATATTGTGACTATTGAGTGTTTAATCATTTTAGAAGTTCAAAATGGGTACATTTTATAAAAGGCATATATGTGGATTCCTTGTGTGAGGCCAGTGTTTACATTGCATAGTGTACAAAAAGATCACAATACAGTTGTGAGTGGATCTGTGCAAATGACACGTGATGTCGTCCGTGTCTTCTTCAGCACAAAACATTTTCCCTTCAGACCACCTATGAGGACTGCTGTTTCAGTGCTGGTTCCTCAGCCATGGTCTTTCTGGGTTTCTTGTGGGTCCTGCTTCCTGTTCATCACACATTTCCATCCTCTCAGAGATCACAGTCATATACTTTATGATCGCCAGTTTTTGAAAACAGTAGTTTAATGTTTTGCATAGTTTTTTGGTATCTTATGATGGAACAAAGAAGTGGTGTCACTTAATCATAGTGGAAGCAGATGTACATTGTTTATAAAACACATCTACCACAACCTCTGACACTATACTGTAGAGGAAAGCCTAGCAACTTTATAAAATTAAGATTGAGCCAGGCTCGCCCTGGAAGCTGATGCCTGTAATTCCACCGTTCTGGGAAGCTGAGGCAAGTGAATTGTAAGTTCAGGCCTAACCTGAGTAATTTAGCGTCCTAATGCGACTCTGTTTCAAAGTAAAAACATACTAAAAGGGCTAGGGATATAGCTCATTGCAAAGGCCTAGATTCAGTCCCAAAAAGATTATACCATTTCAGAAAAAGAGAAGAACGTATTATGAGTAGAGCACTATTTTCTAGACTAAAAGGGAATCTTAAAGGGAGAGAAGTTGTTCAAATTGTACTGCAAAGAAGTAAAGTAATCTGCAGACATTAAGCCAACATGTTGGTTGGATTTGGGGATCAGGAGTTCTTGACTGGCTGGAGCTATTTCAGTGGTTGTGGGGCATACAAGCCCAGTGTAGCATTGTGGAGAGTGAAAATAGATTGAATAACCTGAGATTCAGGCTGTAAAGATCATGGGCACTGAATAGTAATGAAGATACATGCTTTAAAAATTCTAGTCTTAAGAATTTGGTGTCACCTACTTCATCTGTTTTGGCACTGGCCAGCTTCCCGTTTTTTACTTGAATTTGAGTTGGTGCCTAACTGTGGGCTTGCATTTACACGTATTCGCAGTGGTCTATTTCAACAGTGGCACAGTTGTATAGTTGAAATAGTATTCATGGGGCACAAAACCTCCATCTACATTCTTTTTATCCAAGGCTGTTTTTTCAATTTGGGTAAATCACAAATTGTAACCTGGTTATTTAAAACATTTAAAAATGTTTGTAAGGGGGCCAGGGAGATGGCTCAGTAGAGTAAGTGCTTCCCTAGCAAGCGCAAGGGTCTGAGTTCAATCCCCGGTTCAGCCTAAAAAAAAAAGTAAGTTAATCAAAGCAGTAAAGATATGTGTTTAAAAATAAAAAATCATATACTGACCAATTCTGTTTTATCTTTTTTTTTTTTTTTTTTTGCGGAACTGGGGATTGAACTCAGGCCCCTGTGCTTGCCTGGGAAGCACTTATTCCACTGAGCCATCTCCCCGGCCCTATTTTATCCTATTTTTGTGTTTGAGGGAATCTCTCTTTTTCTTTCCTGATCTTTCTTCTTGTAGGTAATTGTGCAACTCTTCCTAAATAAGCTGGTACCACTGCTTTATCAGCATTATAATCGTTGAGTGCTGCTTTGAATGAACAGATTCTCTCAACCATGTATACCCTACCTTCCTCCAGCACCCTTTCAATGTAGATGTGTTTTCACATAGTTTTAACTGTTGGTTTTGATGTTTACCACAGATCTCATTAGTGTATCATGATTGTTGCTTTTCCATTGTTAGTAGCTGGGAGAAAATATTCATGTAGTTGTGTGACTGTGTAAATTTAAGTGTTGGTTTGACTAATTGAAATTTATTTATTTATTTATTTATTTTGGTGGAATCAGGAATTGAACTCAGGCTCTTGGCGCTTGCCAGGGATGCACTTATTCTACTGAACCATCTCCCTGGCCCCAACTCACTGAATGTTGACTGTGGATCCATTTAATATACTTTGACTTTTTTTTTCCTGGAGTTTTTAATAGCAAGATGGTAATCATTGGTGACTCCATTCCTATTTGTTGTGTTTACCTACTGGAATAGCACCATCACATCAAAATATTTTTTCAAGGATCTGTTTACCTGAGCAAATTCTTCCCTTTTCCTGGACCGTACATTGCCCTGCTGTGGTCTGTGCCAGCAGTTTCTAAATGTGTAGCTCACCTCTCAACCTTAAACTTCCTTGGACTTTGATCTTTTAAAGTCCATTCCCCCTCTTAATCTTCATCTCCCTTTTTTTCCTTTACATCCTCATTCTGCTCCACACATCTCGTGGTAACGTGTGGCCCGAGTATACAGGAGCTGAATTTGCGTTTTGTTTTGTGTAAACAGTATTATCCTCAAGTGATTGCATGTTAAGCTAGATTAAGAACTGTGCTTTGAAAAGTGTTTTCTTGTAGAATTTAGAAACAGTCTATTCTGCTGCCTGAGGTTGTAGGGAAGCTTGGTGCCATTCTAGGAACTGTTTGAATCTATTTGACTTCCTTTGAATTTTACCTTTTATTTTTTTCTCTGATTTTAGGCATTTATACTCTCCCATGAATTGAATTTCTATTCTGTACTTTGATTGCTTGTTATTTCTTTGTGACTTGGGTACTTTAGTCTTTTGAGGTCTTTAAGGAGTTAATTCCAAATTCATAATATTGTATTATGTGACTTCTTTGAGGATTTTATCAGGAATATAGAAATTCTTAAAATTTATGCTAACTCAAAATTTTGACACAGATGAAAATAGAGAAGTGAAGGTGAACTTCAGAAGTCCTAGCTTCATTGCCCGAAATTTGTCCAAGACCTAAAATGTCCCTGAGATCTCCATTTGTTTTTCGTTTTTATTTGGTCTTCATTGGTCCTATGAATTATAAGAGATAAGTCCCATGCCATGTACCCAAGTTTCAAAACATGACATTTATGGAAGCATTATAGATTATTGTGGACTTCATGGATGTATTAACAAATCCTGTATTTGTTATTTAATAATTCTTTGATTTCTTTAAAATCCACTCATAACTACGTATGGTGATGTACACCTGTACTCAGCAAGCTGAGGCAGGAGGATTGCTGTTTGAGACCGTCCTGTGTTACAAAGTTAGCTTAGGGCCAGCCTGAGCTGCATACCAAGAACCTGTCTCAAAAAGACAAAAAATAATTTAAAAAAAAATCCGCTCACCTTGCATATAAAAGTGCAGTATTTATTTATAGAATATCAGTACTGTACAGCATAATTATGGACTAAAAATGACTTTAAAATGTATAGTGTTTTCAGTTACTTTGCCAAACCGGGGGGGGGGGGGATCCTGAAAAGTACATGGGAGAGCCTTGTCCAGTGTTGGGCCACTAATGGTTGCCTTTTTTGCATGTAGTTACTTGCATAGCATATTAATTTATGCAGAATGAGGTCTTGGTGTATAAATCACATGGATTGCTTGTTTGTTCTGCAGATCACTAAAGTGGTTCTTAGCAAAGGCTGGAGATGTCTGGAGTGCACAGTGTGTGAAGCCTGTGGGAAGGCCACCGACCCAGGGAGGCTCCTGCTGTGTGACGACTGTGACATAAGTTACCACACATACTGCCTGGACCCGCCGCTGCAGACCGTTCCTAAAGGAGGCTGGAAGTGCAAATGGTACTCTGGCCTTTATTCTTTTCAGTCTTCCAATTTCAGAACTTTCTTACATCACTTTAGTTTTTGAAATTTCCTATGAATATTTTAATCATGAAAAACATATGTACTATGATAACAATCAGAAAACTTCACATACACTATGAATAATTTCTGTTTAAGTGTAGTTTCCAGATTACAGTGACTAAATGAGAAGATAAAATTGACTCTAGGGGCTGTGGTTTGGGTTTCAGGTGTGTCTGGTGCAGACACTGTGGAGCAACATCTGCAGGTCTGAGGTGTGAATGGCAGAACAACTACACACAGTGTGCTCCTTGTGCCAGCCTGTCGTCCTGCCCGGTCTGTTGTCGCAACTACAGAGAAGACGATCTGATTCTGCAGTGTAGACAGTGTGACAGGTATCGTATCCACACCCTCTACAGTTGCTTGCAAGCTTTTTATTTATTTTTTCCCAAGTATCTATTTGACTCAAATTTTTACTTGTAAAGATTTTTAACTGGGGGCTTTTTTGAAGCTGTATGAATCCTTTGGCATTAGATATAATATTATTGCCTATATATTCATTTTTCTATAGAGGGATTCTGAATCTTTTATTACATTTACAAAGTGGTCTCATGTTCTATTTCTTAAAGCTCTGATATTTACATGTCTAGGTTTTAGGTGTTATCTTTCGTTCTTCCTAAGTAGGTACATGTGTGCAGCTTCAAAATCAAAGTTGTTTTTTTTAAAAATTGTGTTGGTGCTTTATGTCCTGTTAGCAATAAAGCATTACACACATATTATTAGCAGTATTATTTCATATTAGTTTGGTATTCTTAGAAGTCAGTCTACAAACTCTGTTCCAAAGCAACACAATTCTGTCACTTGTATTTCTTACTACCTGTTTAACATCACTTAGCCAGTCGTGGTGATGCATCCCTATAATGCTAGCAGTCAGGAGGCTGAGGCAGGAGGACTATGGCGAGTTCAAAGCAGGCCTGAGCTACATAGTGATCTCAAGCTCAGCCTCAGCTACAGGATGAGGCCCTGTCTCAAAAAAAGAAGAAAAAAGCAGGAGCTTCAAATTAGAAGTAGCACATACTGGGACATTGGTAGTTTTCTGATTTTTGTTGCTATTCACCCTGACTAGCTTTACTACTCTTTCCTGCATTTAATATGTGATCAAAAGTAATTATTGTGCCCTCCTTAGTGATATGCACTTGCTTCTTCTCTAGTCCTGTTCTCATCCTTTTCCTTCCCAGTCTGAGGAAATCCCTGTGAGGTCACAGCAGAGTAGTTAGATGGGCTAGAGAACAGGGGCAGGTGAGGCTTGGGGTTTTTAAGTTTGAAGCTGTTAGTTACTCCTACAGTTTTTAAAGGATGAACTTCGCAGTATATTCAGTTCTTTTGAAATGTACAAATATGGTCTCTTTAGATGGATGCATGCAGTTTGTCAAAACTTCAATACAGAGGAGGAAGTGGAAAATGTGGCAGACATTGGTTTTGATTGTAGCATGTGCAGACCCTATATGCCTGCATCAAACGGTAAGAAGAATGGGAATTGCGAGTCCGTGCCACTCTACGATGCACGTGCGCTTTGCTGTCCACAGCCAGTGCAAGTAGTCTCGATTCTGCTTATTTTTGTGAATCTCTTTTTTGGACAAAGCTTTTGTGGAAAATGTTCATTTTTGTTACAATTTTGATAATCTCACCTTTATTAATTTACACAAAGAAAATGAGGTGTACATCTTAGATGTAAAATGCATTTGTTCATAAAGAACATGCCATATTATATTTATTAGCAATGTGTAGGAGCCTAATACACTGGTTCTTTCTTTACGAATTTTGATTTGTATGGTTACTTTACCACTTCCACTTATCATTTACTCTTGTTTTGCAAACCATGCTTAGCTGGTATGGTGGTGCAGACCTGTAATCCCAACACTTGGGAGGCTGAGATGGGAGGATCACCACGTTTGAGGCTGGCCTGAGCTACCTAGTGAGTGCCAGCCTGAAGTACATGGCAAAACCCAGTGTCCAAAACCCCCTCAAAGCCATGGTTTATTTAGTCATCAAGCATTTATTTCAATGATTACTGAGATTGAAAGTTTAATCATTATATGTCTTTAATAATTCTTTTCTGAAAAATTTACCTGAATTATTTTCATTCCAGTGCCTTCCTCAGACTGCTGTGAATCTTCACTTGTTGCACAAATCGTCACAAAAGTAAAAGAGCTAGGTAAAAATCTGAAGTGCCTTACCTGATGGTGGTGTTTTTTTTTTTTTTTTTTTTTTTTGGTGGAACCAGGGATTGAACTCAGGCCCTTGCACTTGCCAGGCCAGCACTTATTCTACTGAGCTATATCCCTGGCCCCCTTAAATGGCTAGTTTTTATGTAACTGGTGTGTCACACATTGTGTACAATACATTTGGTCGTGTAGGTGTTTGTTGTTAAATTCCATGGCATTAAACATTTTTATACTTAAGATACTAAATGTTCATCTTATTTTTTACTTGGGCAATATTCCTGTAAATTTCAACAAATGGCCAGTAAAAATTAACAGTTCTTAAAAAGAATTTTTCGTGCCACGTTTGTTTGGGCTTCGTTGATACACCACTTAGTGTCTAGTTGTTAGTAGAAAAGGTCTTACAAATTTCTTTAGATGTACAGAGCTGGACTTCAGTCTTTTACTTTTTTTTTCGATAACAACCTAGAATGGTGACTCATTGATGTTTTCCCTGTCTTTCTCTTGACTACATGTATTTGATATCATCTAATAAAAAATTAGGATGTTATGGGACTTACTCTAATGAATAGTGTTTCTGGATGTTAAACACTCAGTCTGCAGGTGTGTAGTACTTACTCCCTGTAAGCTGTTACACTGTCCCTGGTTTTCATGTGGCTTTCTGGAATATTCCTCTCACATTAATTCATCCTTTTTGTTCTCGTCTAGGAAGTGGATAATAGTTGGATGATGGAAGCAGAGCTTTAAGCTTCAGTGCTTTTTTTCTAAATCCTTCCTTATGATGAACAGAAATGACAGGAAGACCATTTTTAAAAAACATGCAGTCTTTTGCCTAAAGTCCAGGAAAGCCTGGCCAGTTATTCCCAGTCCTAATTAAGCATCATTATGTTAATTATTCATGTGTCTCATAGATAATTATTCCACGAAACTGCACTTGCATTCCTTCAGTATATGTATTGTATAATAGCAATAATTTACTAGTCAGATTTAAAAGTGAAAGTTTTAATTTGTATTCTTGGTATTTTTAAAATTTTAGATCCACCTAAGACCTACACCCAGGACGGTGTTTGTCTGACTGAATCAGGGATGACTCAGCTACAGAGTCTCACAGTTACTGTTCCAAGAAGAAAACGATCAAAACCAAAATTGAAATTGAAGATTATAAATCAGAACAGCGTGGCTGTCCTTCAGACCCCTCCAGACATCCAGTCAGAGCACTCACGGGATGGTGAAATGGATGATAGTCGAGGTAATACAGATTTATCGTCCTTGGAAAGCACATGCAAGAAGTAATGTATAAAATAACTTCTGAAGTTTTTATGACTTAACCAGGATAAATCCCACTGACTTAGACCACCCTAGATGTGGCGTGGCCCCCTTCTAAGTGATCTTCTTAGACTTTGCATTTTAAGGTTCACTTGCTTTCCTGGCTCCTCTTGGATTCATTTATCTTATAGACACCTCCAAGACCACAGTGTGTGTTAAGATCACGGATGGGCAAACGGAGGGCTTAGCTTCAGTTTGTTTGATAGTAGCATAGTACATACCAAATATTGTAAGCCTGGCTGCTGTGTTTAAGTTAGACTAGAATTTGATCTGTGCATTGTAGAAAAGGAAAATGATTAATAATATTGCTTCAAGTGTATATTATACTCACAGGTACTGAGTGAAAACTGTGATTTGCTAACATTTTCTTGGTCAAAATAGACATAGAAAGGTTATAGCTGAAGTGTAACTTGAATAGTAGTGCTAAATCCACCAGAAGTTACATTTTTGCTTATCTCCAAAGATCATTATAGAATTGTTTAGTATGATTTTTTTTCTTTTCAAAAGTAATATGTGCTCCATTATATTTCATCATTCAGTAATATTTATTGTATGTACACTGTGTGCCAGATGTTGGAAATCCTTAATAGTGAACAAGGGAAATAAAACCCTTTTCTCATGGAATTTGTATTTCACTGTTAGGGTACAGGAGTATGAAAAATAACCCCCCAGAACCCTAGGCCGGGATGGCTGCACGTTGAGAGTCTAGAGGTCTAGTTCAAGGGCAGACTGGTAAGTGATGGCCCTGGGAAGACTACACTCATAAAGGGCCACTTGCCAGGCAAGTTCTAGAGGAAGTACTTGGCCACGCTTGGTGGAGGTGTTCCGCATCTGCTGGGGCCCTGTCCAGTTCAGTGTGTGGGACATGGCCAGCCAGGCAGGCTGTGCGGCTGCTCCTTCTAGGCTCGGTGTGCTAGTACCACATCTGATGTGACATTCAGAGTTATGCACGAGAACCTGCCTAATTGGCACAGACACCTGGTGGGAGTGTGGGAGAATATCTCCATTGTGTCTTGTGGCCAGACATTAGGGGTAAGAAAGGGAAGGCAAAATCTGTTGTCTTTCACCAGAAGAAGGCTCAGAAGTACTATGGTATTTCTGCCAAAAGTATCTGCAACTTTGAGAACCTCTTTGTCTGGCTCTCCAGAAAGCGCATCAGAGACCCAACTTAGGAGTCCATCACCGTGCTTGCTCTTGCCTTACTAGAGATTGTCTTGGGCCCAGCGCTGGCAGTGCAGTATGAGCATGAGTTGGATATTGCTTACACCACTGCATTCTGCGGTGAGGATGATGACCTACAAGAACGTGAAGTGGGAGCCCTGTGTCAGAAGTGTAGTTTTATAAGGAACTGTCCTGAGTGGATGTGGCAGTTAAAGTTTTATGCTTAGATCAGAATATTTACTTGTTTGTAACATAATTGTTTCCTTTTTGAGTTTCAAATGTAAGGCTGCTTCATTCACATCACAATTAAAAACAAAACACAGGGTTCAATCCCTGGCACCACATGCCGTGCTGGTCCCGCCCCTGGGCGTGTGGAGCCAGTGATGGATTGCGGGCATGGTGGTGCACACTTGTAAGCCCAGCAGTATGGAGGCAGAAATCAGGAGGATCACTACAAGTCTGAGCTGCGTAGTGAGACCCTGCGCAAAAAAACCCTTAGAAACAAAACCGCATTAACTCTGTTATTATGTGTCTAGCAAGTGCTAGGGTAAATGTAAGAGGCTGAAAAGAATTAAAAGCATGGACAGTGGTGTTGTGGGGGTCAGATAAATGGAAAGTGGTCTTTAAGCATAGACTTTAGTGAGTTGGATGTGTGAGCCACTTGGTTGCTTGAGGACAGAGCATCCCAGATCCTGAGAAAGTGGAGGCAGAGGCCCTGGAGAGAGCATGTCCAGCATATCTGAGGAGTGCTGTGAAGACCACTGTGTTGGGCAGAGTCACTTATGGATAGGAGGAACCACTGAGGCCCCAGGTGTGCAGAGAGGATGGGCGCAAGCTGGTGGTTGTAGTGTTGGAGTTGTTGGTGTCAGATCTGATGCTGAGGGGAGTCCGCATTTCCAGAGGGTCATGGGATGCTTCTGAGGAGAAAAGAACATGTTCTCATTTGTATTGTACGCGATCATTCTGCTCTGATGCATAGACTGTCAGTGATGAGAGTGGTATCTAGCAGAGCAGTGAGCACACTAAACCAGTAATCCTCAAAGAGGTAATTGTTGCTTAGAGTAGATAGGTCTCGTAAATTCCTGGTAATTTCCACTTAATTCTCACATTTTTCTTATGTAGTAGTGAGTTTTGGGTTTGTGTTTTTGTGAGAAAAGTTATTGTGGTTATGAATAACTGCATTTTAAATGCAGTTGAACAGTGAATTTTTTTTTTTTTTTTTTTTTTTTTTATTTTTTTTTTTTCAGTACTGGGAATTGAACTCATGACTTTGAACTTGCCCGGCAAGCACTTATTCTACTGAGTTGTCTCCCCAACCCTGAACAGTGAATTTGATTTTGAAGTTTAAGGTGGATTTGGGGGGCCTGTGAGATCGCTCGGCAGACTAAGTGCCTGCTTAGACACACACGGGGACTGAGATTTGATCCCCAGCACCCTGTGCCCAGCTCCCCATCCCCCTTCCGTGGTAGCACTTGCCTGTAATCCCAGGGCTGGGGAGGCTGAAAGCAGGAGGATCACTATGAGTCTGAGCTGCGTGGTGAGACCCTGTACCAAATACATTTAAAAGACAATAGAGGATTTGGGATTGTGGAGAAACAGCCCATATGTTTAGAGGGAATTGATCCACACCAATGTCAGCCAGAACACATTGAAGAAGTTTTGTTTATGATAACATTAAAATTTGTGTGAAAAAGGATTTTATCCTAACTCACTTAAATTTGGGAAATGTTACATCTTACTAAATGGGAAAGGTTTCTTGACAGTACACATTATTTTCCAAATATTGACAGTTTAGAACCTTTTAAAACAAAAACAACAAAGACTGGAATGTTTCCATGTGTCTGTGGTGCTTTGGAATAGCCCTATTAGAAATTGTGTTTAATTTCAATTTTATATTCTCTTATTCCTGTCAGGGTCAGAAATCAGTTGAAAATTGCCCTTGCTTTCTTGGAGACTATGTGGTAAAGTAGTCCATCTTTAATTTGGCTTACTGAATCTGACCTTATTTTTGTTGAAAGTGTAAGAGAGTGAATGTTAGTGTATTAAATTTTGCAAACATTAATAGAGACAGTTTTGGGATTTTAACAACTGAGTGTAGTATTTCCTGACTTTCCCTCATGCTCTTTAATATCAGGAGCTGACATCCTTTGTGAAGGAGAGCTACTTTATGTAGTGATGAGGTGTTGTATGTTATTTGTGTTTTTGCTTGTTTGCTAAATAAAATCCTTTTAAAAATTGGTTGCTATAACTTGATATCATGAAGATGTAGCTGTATTATTGTAATAAGTTTTTAAAATGTTATGTGTTTTGATCGCTCACCCTATATGTGTGTCACAAATACATACATGTGCCACACATATTTTCAAAGTGGGTTTTATGGCTTTATTATTCTAAGTATTCCTGTACTGGAAAAAGTTGTCATTCTCAATTCTTATTGTTATGTAACAAAATTTCTAATGTGACCACCCCTTTTTTCTAATTTGTGTGAAACCAAAATTCACATTTTAGATTCTGTGCTTAGACTATATGTCAGCATTTTGGGGGAGGAAAAAAGATACTGGAACCATGTGCGATGCACCAGCAACTGTGGATGCATTTAGCCAAGGTCTTCAGCTTCGCTGATGCTTAAACTTTGCGTTTGTAAAGTGCTCCATATGATAGGATCAACCCCACAGGGTAGTTGTGTGGACCATGCTTGGGTGGTGTGTGTCACACCCGTACCATGGCACTTAGCAGATGTGGCTTTGTCAGGAGTGCTGATCTGTTCATGTCCAGTCAGTGCTGCCCCACTAGCTGTTTTTTCTGCCTGAGCTTGGGAGACGACCCCCACATTGTTTCTGCTGTTGTGATGCAGGATCTCCTCTGTCAATAAAATAGTTGTCCCTGTGTTCTTGGATGTGAATGTTGAGGAGAGTAGGTTTGGAATATTACAACAATCATGTTTTTGAAAAAATTTCTTTTTGCTTCTTGTGATGATTAGCTCTATAATGTCTTAAGGTGAATCATAAATTATTAGCATAGTGTATTAGAAGCATATTTCATTTGCAGTAGAAGCAGACTTTCTTATTTTCCTGCTAGAATCAGGAAACCCTGTTAGGCAAGAACAAAAATACTCTGCATTCAGAAAGTGAATGTGCTATGATAGTATAGTAACATATCAACTCTAAGATTGAACTAAGGTAAAATTAGAGGGAAACAAATCTATTTTGTTAAGAGTCTGATGAGTCTTGAGTAGAGGAGAAAAGAAATTAGAATTTGTCAGTGGTGTCTTCCAGACTGTCTACACAAGGGTGTTTTTAATGTCCTATGATGATCATGGGTAACATAAAAAAGGGAGAGAGTTCATATTGAGTTAATATGTAATTTTAGATAGTTTTTAATAACTAGGTAATACTCGGTTGTAGCTCAGAAGAGTTCTTGGTTAGAGAGTAGGATTTAGGACTTGGAGATGTAACAAAAAGAGAATGATTTGTAAAATGCATGTTGATTCATCATTGTCCTTTTGATCTCTTTCTCTGTATGTTCCCCTTACCTGTTTCTTGGTTGTTATCCCTGAGGATGCACTGCATTAAGCAGTAGGGTGACTTTGATTTTTCTTCTGCTTTCTCTACTTGCTGAGATGTAGTGATAGCGGCTTGGCAGCCCCTTGGCTTTATATTGCCCTTTTCCTGTGGGGTATGTAGTATGTAGTAGGTGGACTTCTACAAGTTCATGTGCACATTTACTTTCTTTCCAGAAGCAGAACTTATGGATTGTGACGGAAAATCAGAATCTAGTCCTGAGCGTGAGGCTGTTGATGATGAATCTAAGGCAATAGAAGGAACAGATGTTGTCAAAAAGAGAAAAAGGAAGCCATACAGGCCAGGTAAAGTGTCTCAGCTAGAAAATGTAGCTAATTTAAGAAGAATACAGTATTGAGAACTTCAGCTTGGTTGGATAACACATTCCTGTAATCTCAGCTCTCTGGAGGCTAAAAGCAGGATTAGGATTTTTAAGGACAGCCTGTTTTTCCTATCTAACCGTCAGCTATCTAGTGAGGTGGTGTCTTAAACACAAAGGGAAAAAGCCAGGCGCAGTCATCCTCTCTGGTGGCTAGGCAAGATTGCGTGAGTTCAGGGCCAGCCTGGCCTACCTCATAGCGAGACCCTGTCTCATACTGCTGACCCAAACTGAGGAACTGAGTTATTAGTTGATCAGGACTAAATATGACATCCTAAAAGCTCTGTGAAATGAGGAAGTAGGCACCAAATGAGTGGACTATTTGAATATGCCTTTTGGATGATGAATTTCTTCAATTGAATATCTGAATACTTCTCAATACAACATTATTCAGTGCCTTTTCCCAAACATGTAACCATTTTATTAAATGTTCTATGAGTTGGCTTTTATTTGTAATTGACTCAGTAGCCTTTCATACATCTCCTGTTGATACACACTTCTGCAGTTCTCTTTTCACCTTTGATCCTCTGATATTTTTATGTTTTATTTACCCCGAAATTTTCTTTCGGGGCCGGGGAGATGGCTCAGTAGAATAAGTGCTTCCCTGGCAAGCACAAGGGTATGAGTTCAATCCCCGGTTCTGCAGAAAAAAGAAAAAAAAATTTTTTTTTTTCTTTCAGTGTTTATGCAGGAATATCAGTAAGAATACACTGTGAGATGAACATGCAAGGTCCTCAGGACTCTTAGAATTTATAATCCTGTTAATAACTATAAATGATCACTTTTTTATTTCCTGTTTTCTGTAGGGGTAGAGAGGAAAGCTTCCTTCCTTGTCAGATTTTATTTACCTTATTGGAAAAAATATTATTACTTTTTTTTTTTTTTTGTGGAACCCAGATTGAACTCAGGCCCTTGTGCTTGCCAGACAAGCACTTATTCTACTGAGCTATCTCCCCAACCCTTTGGAAAAAAATTATTGAAGTGTGTCAGTACATACTAATGTCTGGTAACCAGTAAATGAAACATTAAATTGGAATAGTATAATCTGTATTGTTCTGATTTTTCATATGGTATCGTGTAGAGTCTGGTAAATTCCTTTTGATATATATGTAAGGAAGTACTTTCTCACTTTGTGATCTGTAAGACCTTCAAATGTAATAAGGACTGAAAATTAGTTTTATCTTTATCATTTTATGAAAATGGTTTCATTTGTTCTTAATTAGGAGGTTTATAAGTACATTTACCTTTTTTTGTTTTGTCGGTGGTGCTGGAGATTAAACCTAGGACCTTGCACATACTGGGCGAGTACTTGCTCTCCCGCTAAGCTACATCCCCAGCCCACATTTACTTCTTTCTTTTAGACACTACAGATTCTTTCTAGGAGCTTCATGTTTTGTTGGGTTTTTCTTCTTTATATAGAAGTGATCCCTTTAACTGGGCACTCTGTAGGTCTCAAAATATATTGTTACACAGCTGTGTCATTTGGCAGAAGCTTAATGTTGACTATGTGCAAGGCACTATTCAGAGTAGGCGCTTTACGTATATTTATACTTCTGCCATAAATACGTGAGGAGGTGCTCTACATGGTCCCCATTTAGTTAGTTAACGGAATTACACAGAATTATTAGGTTTTATGCTCTCAACTTCAGAGTTCTTTCTTATGTCTAAAAGCAGTCGTAGTATAGAAAAAGTAGGCACAGACTCCAAAGTCAGATTAATCCAGGGGTCCTTAGCACCTGGGCCACAAACTGGTGCAGGCCACACAGCAGGGTGTGAGCAGCTCCAGCTGTGAGGGAGGCTGCCCCTGTTGCCTCGCTGCCTGAACTCTCCTCCTGTCGGACAAGCAGCAGCAGCATTAGTCTCCTAGAAGCACGAGTGCCCACCGTGAAGTGCATGTGCACGCGGTACATGTCACACGCTCCCTTGAAGCTGGCCTTTGCTCCCAGTCTGTGGACAAATTTTCAAGACGTTTGGGGACTACCATATTCATCATTGTTTCCTTGTGTCATCTTTTTTTAGTTTCTATATTGTATTCTTTACTAATGTGCATATTATTACAGTATACCGTTAATAATTTGATGTTCCTTAGATCAAAGAGCATACTCTGTTAAGTGTTTATTTTTTACTAGTCTAGAAGAGGAAAATCATGGAATTCTTTCTGTACTCTAGAAAATTATAATTCCTGCTTAATTCATGAAAACAGTAGTGTTGATTTTTTTTTTAAATTCAAAACCTGTTCTATTATAAAAAAATGTGCTTATTGATTTAGATTAGCCCAGATGGAATTTTGGCAAAGGCTCACTATTAAAGCATCTTACTTGCTATAGAACTTCACTATAGGTACAAATGATGGGTATTTTCCAGTTATCTAATTTCTTGTTTTGGACAGGTATTGGTGGATTTATGGTACGACAAAGAAGTCGGACAGGGCAAGGAAAAACCAAGAGATCTGTGATCAGAAAAGATTCCTCAGGCTCTATTACTGAGCACTTGCCTAGCAGAGGTGATGGTATGGTACCGCATTTCTTTGATTTAACTCCTCGTTTTTGACATTTTGATGTGGAAGAACTGTTCTAAGTACTACCAGTGTCACAACTATATTGCTCTTACTGATCAAAGGATTTAAATGCATATATAATTCATACTTAGCAGTAAGGTCTGATAAGAAAATGATTTAAAGCCAACAAACCCTATGTCTTTTTCTTTGGTATTTTCTGCTCTTTCCTTCTTTTGGCCCTGAAGGATGAACCCACATATGCTAAGAACATGCTCTGCACTGAGCAGGCATTCCAGCCCCTTCTCTGGGACTGCTACTTCTTTCTTAAATGTCGCTCCCACATTAATTATAGGCATTGCAAGGGCTGAATTGTTCACTTATGTAAGATACAGTCGGTCATTTAAACAGACTTTAGCTACTTAAAATGCAGCTCAAAACTTGTATGTAATTTAATTGAAAGTGACAGATAAGCGCCATGCTTTTTAACAAAATTATAGTGGTGTATAAACACGTCTATCAGTGAAATGTTCTCATTTTTAGTGCTTCAGAGAATAATTTCATTAATAATATATTTCTGAACTTAAAATTGCTAGAAGGAAACACATAAAAATAAGATTTTTCTTATCTGTTTCCATTATACTTTTTAAAAGTTGTGTCTCCAGATTTCCTGTAGGAGTGTACGAGTAGCCAGACTCATGAGAATTCAGTATTTCTAGGTATCACAATTTGTAAATACATGTGATGTTTTAAACAAGTACCTGTTTTGCAAGAAAATGCTGATTATTAAGAGCCAGGTAGCATGCTAATAGTGAATAGATGTGAAATTATATTTTATAAACTTTAAAACTTACTAATAAAACTTGCTCTGAGAGCTTTTTCTGACATAACTTGCTTGTTTAAATGGAACTATATATGTTGGTAAGCTATAAAATTGCCATGGGTGGATTTGTGTAAAATTTAAAGGCCATATATGTATAAATGTGACTCTTATTTCAGGCTGGAGTGAGCAGTTACCAGATACTCTGGTTGATGAATCTGTTTCTGTTGCTGAAAGCACTGAAAAAATTAAAAAAAGATACCGAAAAAGGAAAAACAAACTTGAAGAAACATTCCCTGCTTATTTACAAGTAATATTACGCTTTACATTTTATGTTGTTTATTATTCGAGAGAATGTAATTTTTTTAAAAATAGGTTTATTATTTTATTTTATTTATTTTTTTAGGTTTATTATTTTCATTTAGTCATAAATTTCATTTTACCTCCACAACCCCATAAAAATTAATATTTATACTTCTTTGCCCTTTTATACTTTTTTTCCCTATGTTTTTAGGGAAAGGTATACAGGGTATTCTGGGTCTCACTACTAGATCAGACTCTTAGTGATTCTCCTGTCTACAGCCTCCCAAGTGCTGTGATTACAGGAGTGTGCCACCATGCCCAGTCTCAGTTGCTATCTCAGCGTGCCACCACACTCAGTCTCAGTTGCCATTTCAGTGCGCCCATGGCCTGGGGATCACACTCCCAGCCCTGCACCTGCTTGCAGGCACTTTAATCCACTGAGTTATTTGGCCGGCCCTTATACTTTTCATAAAGTTTATCTCACTTACTCACTTCTTAACATTTTATAGGCTATAATAAGGACACATTGAAGTATGAGGAGCTGTCTTCTATATCATTGACAGCTATATACAGGTGAAATTAGATCCTGTTAAAAATTTCCTTGGCCAGTACAGGTTATAGTAATTATTGAATAAAGGTGAATTTAAACAACAAGGGTAATAGCTTTAGTAATTGTCTACTACTTTTACAAGTCTAGTAAGTCAGAGACTAAGCCAAAGAATTCTTCTGTTTTCCAAAATACACATTAGAAATATATGTCTCAATATGAAGAAGTTATATTTTTATTTTATTTTTTTTAATTTTTATTTATTTTTTGTTCCTCAAATGCCTTCAGGGCACTTTTGGCCAGCGGGAGAGTTGTGAGGTTCGAACTCCAGCAACCTGAGGCTGACAGCTTTGTGGAAGCAG